CACGGGCTAATAGGTAAAAATAAAAATTGCACAAAAAGGAAAAAAAAATCACAAGAAGTGGGCTTGGGCTGCCCTAAATCAGCCAGTGAAAAAGTATTTGTTTTGAAAAAAATATTTGATCAAAAAGTAGGGAACATATATGAGAAAATATAAAAAAGATGCTCACATTTTTTTTTAAAAAAAAAATGTGTTGTTAAAAACGAGTTTAGGAAAAATCAGTATTCAAAAAAAAAATTATCAAACAAGGGGTAAGGTTTTGGCACAAAACGTTAATTGTATATTAAAAAAGAAATGTAGATCTGTACGAGAGAAATGTAGCATTTAGTTTTTACGACGACGAACAATATAAAGATAATGTATGAACTATTATTATCAAAACGTAATGAAAGTCGGGAATTTAGTGTATGTGAACTTATAGGTGGGCTATAGGTTTATTTATCACTCGAGATGATGTTTGATTGTCCAAAAAAAAAAAAAAGTTTCGTTAAAGAAAAAATAATTTTGAAAATTCTAGTCAAAACAAGTGATTCAAAAGTTAAAAATTTCAAAATTAAATACTTTTGGGATAAATACTAACTTTATAATGATTCCTAACCAAATCACAAAGAAAATGAAACCAATTAAAATAAAGTTCTATTCCTCCAATCAATCAAATATTTGCAACAGCCAAACTTAAACATAAAAATAAGATATTTTCCATTTAAAAATGGTCCACAAATTATGTAATGATCCTTTTTTAATACACTTCATTAAATTAATCTGAATATGGTCATGTTGATCAAATGTGGGACAAGAAATAAATGTTTTCTATTTTATTTTTTTAGTTTAGAGTATATAATATTCTTTAATGGTTTCAAACTCGAATTAATGGAGAAAAATAATATAAGTTGACAGCGTATAACTGTATAACAGATTGTTCAGAACATAAATATCAATTGTTTCAAGAACGTAGAATGAAATTCGTTTTTTAACTGAGGAGAATCGAATATATATTCTACAGATGATTGCAAAGTGACTAACAAGATTTAATGAATTCGACATTGTCGGTATGACATGAAAGTTATCAAGGTTTAAGTGACTTCAAGAGCATGATCTCAATCCAAGCTCCTTTCCATGTACAAATTGTCCATGAAGCATCCTAAGTTCATTTCTCTGTTGTGCCAAGTGTTAGATTGTGCTTGAAGATAATATAACTTTTGTCACACTTTTGCCTTTTTGTCTAGTTAACTTTCACTTTATGTCAAGGTTCTCCATGTATAATGACTTATCACTTTTAAGTTTTATCTCACTCATTAAAACACCCTAAAATATTCCTAATTTTTACAATATTAATTTTAAAATAAAACGGTCATTTATCTATAGATCTTAGTATATGGTTCCCACGATTCGAGAAACAATCATAATTTTAAACTTCGATCAATATTAAAATCAAATCAGCTAAACTCTTACCTCATGTAACTAAGTTTGGGGTCGATTTAACGTTTCAAACAAAATAATCGATCGCCGTAACGTGAAATAAATTAAATTCTTCCAAAGTCGAGATATTTTAAAACTTATTTCTTGAGAGTAAGTCATAGGTGTACATTTTAGGTAGTTAAAAAAAAAACACACATAGGTCAAAGGACTTGAAATTGCCTAAATTCATGAAGATTAGTATTACAATTAGTCAAAGTGAAAGTACAAAAAGGTCAATATGCAAAGCCATGCATATGTTAAATCAAGAATAGTAATTTATCAAATTAAACTGAGCTTATGATTATTATTTCTAATTATAAGCAAAGATTATTCAAAGAAAAAATGCAGTTGCTGGTGCACAATTTGCTCTGTCTCTCTCTTCACAATTAACCTCTCACGTGAGTGATTCAGCTTTTCATTAATTATTTTTCGGGTTTTCTATCGGATCTTTTCTTGCTCGGATCTATTCAATGCACTGCAGATCCAAGACTATAGATACAGCACTGTACAGATAATTCAGTTCAAGATTCTCCCGTTTTGAGAATTTGAGGGTTTAGTTGTGGAATAATGAGCTGTAGAGTAGTGGTTACTGCAGAAGAGTTTGATTTAGTTGGCGATAAGGGAATATTTTTCGGTTAATTGTGCAAGTGACTACTCTGTGGAGTAATTCTACTTGTTTTATAGTTTGGAGGTGCTAAATTTTGTGAATGTGATTAGGGTTTTTTTTTTGTTTACAGGATTTTGTGAATTTCATTTGTTATTTGCTTCACATTTTGAAGTGGAACTGGGGTTTCAATTGAAGTTTGTGTTTTGAGCAATTTTATGCTTTTAAGGTGTGATTTACAGATTTGGAAGTGCAATTGAAATGATTCGCGGGTTCTTCATAATGGTGTCAGTGTGAATTCTCAATGATGCGGTGCAAATTTGTTGCGGGTTTTGATTGTCCGAATGGTAGAGGAACAGCTTCCAGTAAATTTTAAGCCAAAAGTTTCTTGTAGTTCTCACCATGTGCTGCCTAGAGTTTGGATTTTAGGAGGAATTTAATTGAAAATTTATTACGAGAATTGAATCGCGGATACAGAGATGCCTCCATCCCCAGCAACGAGAATTTCTCCAAGGAGGGAGCTGAGAGCTGAGAAACACAAGAGGGGACGTAGTCTTGAGAGTGTGATTCTCTGTCGAGAGAAAGATGATGATCTTGCTCTGTTCAATGAAGTGCAGAACAAAGAAAAAGAGAATTTCTTGCTTCAATCAAATGATGACTTTGAAGACGCCTTCTGTAATTTCTAGCATACTATATAATCTGCTTCTTGATTTAGCATTTAATGAAGTATAATATGTGTACTGGGAATTCTTTGTTTTGTTGACTGACAATTATCTTTTTATTTATGGCATTTGACAGTGACAAAATTAAGACACTTTTCAGATCATAAGGGCGGAATCACCATTCCTGCTCGGGGAGAGAGTAGCGACCTGCTCAAAGCAGAAGGAGATAAAAATGATTATGATTGGTTAGTCGTGTTTCTCTTCTCATGAGTTTGACCTTTTTTCTGTTTCTTTTGGAGAGAATATTTTATACAGATCTGTCTCCCTTTCTGAAAGATCCTGTAGATATTGTTAGGTTCCACGTATGTTCAGTTAATGCAATTTGTTTGGCTAATAGTTGTAGTTTCCTCGGACAAAGAAAATAATGATAATAACAGAAGCAGAAGCTTGCATTGTTTAATTTCAAAACAAAATCAAGAAAATATAATCTCCCTTTACGGGCTAACATATAGAAACGTTTGTTTCTGATGTGCTATATAACTGGCCTACTTTCTTATTTAGTATTTTTTTTCTCACAACATGCAATGCCATTGATTAAAGGTTAATAACTCCTCCGGAGACCGGTGAAAAAGGAAGAAACCTACTGCAGACACTACCGGTTAATGTTGTACAGAGGGGCAGGCCGAGGAGTCAACCTGTTTCAATCTCAAGATCATCTACTGTAAGTTCATTAAAAGTCAATGAAATCAACTGACAACTTCTATATTACCACTATCCATAAAATGAATGCATGATCTCTTTTCAAACTTTTCTAATCCTTACTTCTTTTGTTTTGAAAAAAATTGTTAAATATATGTTCGTCTTCAGATGGAGAAGAGTTATAGAAGCAGTAGAGGTAGTGCGAGTCCCCATCGCCTAAGCCTATCTCCTCAATCTGGCAATAGTATATCACAATCAAGGAGCGGGCCATCTTCAGAACCTCATTTAAGTCCTCCGCCTAGATTGAAGCATCTGGCTCCTGTAAGGAGACCATCTCCCCCACCAAGTAAGCCATCTGCTCCTGCTGTGAGGTCTAGTTCACCAAATCCTCGGAGGATGAGCACTGCTTCTGCTGCCCCATCACGGATGAAAGGCACCTCCCCTGTCAAGACACGTAGAGGAAATTCTGCTTCACCCAAAATAAGGGCATGGCAATCTAACATTCCGGGCTTTTCATCAGAAACACCTCCTAATCTTCGTACATCACTGGCTGATAGGCCAGCATCATATGTGAGGGGATCCTCTCCAGCATCCAGAAATGGCTCCAGATCTGGCAGAGAATCAATGTCTCCAACTGCTACCAGAAGTGTCAGTTCCCCATACACTCCTGACCGGGACCTGTTTAGTTCCCACAGCAAAGGTTCAGTTGCATCATCTGGTGATGATGACAGAGAGTCTCTGAAATCCATTCCTGTGAGCAGCGCAGACCGCTCAGCTCCAAGAAACATAGGCGCTATCCCAAATAATAGAGCTCTGGGCTACTCTAGGAAGCCTGCTAAAATTGTGTCAAGTTCTGCTCCAAAAAGATCCTTTGACTTGGCACTTCGACAAATGGTATTTTACCTCTCTTTTATTGATATAATGATGCTTTCTTGATGGTTATACCATATTTATGTGCGTTAATGCATGCTGGTATATACTTTCATGGCATCAAAGATGGAAAATTATTTTTTTGGAGCCACTGTAAAATGAGGAATCAATCTCATAAATACAGTATAACCTATATAAATTAATAACCCCTATTATATAATAAAATTTCCGGTCCCGACTTGTCTATTGTGATAAGTTAATAATTTCAACAAATTGATAAGTTAATACTTTTCTGGAGACATCTTTCTAAATTTGTGGTTCCATTCATATTATAAATTAACAATTTTCTAAAAAAATCAAATAGATTTTACACTTGTATTTTCATTTAATATATTGCATGGTTAAATGTATGTGTATTGAATCATCAACGTTTGCATTAAATGTAATATTTATAAGGTAATACTAAATTGATATTTATTTAATTAATGCATGTATATTAAATCATAAATGTACTCTATAAATTAATAACTGTTTTAATTATAGATTTTTCATGATCCCAACATTATTAATTTATAGAGATTATATTGTATTGACCGTTATTTCCTAGGTTTTATTTGAAACGTTTATTATGATACTTGTGGGCCCCATTAAAGATTTTTCTGGATAAAGTTTTGTATTTATTACTAGCCTTGAACAATTTGTGGAAGTTTCTACTTCATTTCAATATTCTTTGAACAAATTCGAAAATTTATTTGAAGCGTCGAAACAAAAACGGCATCTTGGAATTGTAATAACTACCCCATCCCTATTTACCATGGCCAAATGCAAAATCAATTGGCCCGTCCTAGCTATCCATTATATTTGTTGCATTTACTATATTGTGAAGTTTATGATATTCATTTCCATTATTATATACTTCTATGGTTGTTTATATCTAAACACTCTTATTTGTCCTTTATAGATGCACTCGTTTATGCATGTTCACGACACAATTGAGTCTAAATAACTTCATTATATTGCATTTGCTTTGAGGTAAATGTTAAGAATTGGGGTTCCATCTTAAAATATCAATCTTCTTAAGAGGAGTAACCCAACCCTTTATAAGTTAGTCTATGTTTACATCTTTATTTCGATGTGGGATTTCATCCCTTAACATGCCCCCGCAAGATGGTGGCTCGTTTGAGCAGCCCAATCTTGAAATCCGTATACTCACTTTTTTTTTTGAAATCTTAACCGGATCGAATTGCTCATTAGAGTTTAGTGGACTCTGATACCCTGTTAAGAATTGAGGTTCCATCTTAAAAGGTCAACTTTCTTAAGAGGAGTAATTCAATCTTTTATAAGTTAGTCTATGTTTACATCTTTATTCGATGTGGGATTCCATCCCTTAACAGTAAAGGCAAAAATAATATGTTGGTCTTAGGACAATCAGTTTTTATTTCTATTATTAATTTTCTTGCCAATTTGCAACTAATATCTCAAGAACTTTGGAGTGTAATGGATCTGGATTTTACATTTTTTATTTTTTTATTTTATGTGATTCATGCCTTTTTATTAAATGCCACCAAAATTAATGCCTTTATTTATTTTTCTTGCCAATTTGTTAGTCTGATTCTTGTTTATGCTTGCCAATATTAGAAGTCTTCACAGAAAATGGAAAGGATGCAAATATTTAAGCGCTGTTTGGCCCCCATTTTTTACAACACATTTTTCCCAAACTCATTTATGAGACTCACAAATTTTATCAACTTTTTAATCACATATTTCATCATTTTTTATCAAAATCTACTAAAAAGATGATTTTTAGCAAAACTAAACAGGGGGTTAATTTCACGAGTTAGGAAAAAATTAAATAGAACTATTAACGAGTTAGGAAAAAATTAAATAGAACGATTAATCATTCTGGTTTACAGGATTGGGGTCTGGTTCAGTCCTTGCAAAAAGAGCAAGAAAAAATTACTGACAATCAATAATGAAGGAAAATGATATTTATGTCCTCAGGCTTGATGAGCATAACAATTTTTTATTGTGAAATTGGGTAATCTTCAAGTATAACTATTACTAATTTTAATGGCATTGAAAGGGAAAATAATTCAATGTCATTATAGCTCAATAAATCCATTGCCTTCATTATTTACTTCTCTAACATGTAAATCTGATGGCTAGGTTTTTTGAATCAAGATTTATCATGGCCCCTTTCATGCGTGAACAGTAGAACTTATTTCGGCTTTCCCATTTTGTATGCAGGATCATCAGAAAAGTCCTCAAAATATGTTTAGGCCGCTTTTGTCCAGTGTCCCCAGTTCTACATTCTATGCTGGAAAAGCAAGTGCATCCCATCGTTCTATGGTGTCCAGAAATTCTTCAATCACAACTAGCAGTAATGCCAGTTCTGATCAAGGGATAACTGGTGCTCATGATATTGAAGAAAATGAGCAAAACCAACACGACGATGTAACCAGTAAATGTATAAAGGGATGCTATCCAGAGTTGCATGACGAAATATTTGTCTTGGATCAGGTTGATGCTTTAAATGAAGGTGTTGGGAAGAAAATCCACGAGGGGTCACCTAGCAGTCAATATGATAAATTTATTGGCAACTCTCTGGTCAATTCTCAGTTTGTCGTTGATGAGAGTTGCAGCCAGCTTGATACTACTATAGATGTTACCACATCTTCTGTTGTCTTGGACAGGAAAGGTGATTATTCTGATGCTGATGGTCTTGAGGATATGGCAATTTGCTCAAAGTGTGGTCACACGTTTGATTCCATGGAAATGTTAATGGAAGGAGACCTAATTTTTTGTCCGGAATGTAGAAGCTCGGAAGCACCTTCAACTTTTACTATTCCAATTGTAATGATGGCACGTGAGAACACTTCAGGAGATTTGGTGAAGATCTTACAGAATGGGTCATTTGAGGAGGCTTTGGAGTGCTCTGCACAAGTTTCAGAACCGTTGCAAGTTATAAGTGTTGGTGAAGCCAGGAATGATCATCTTAACGAGATTTCTGACGAGGGTCAACACTGTAGCCTGAATTTCTCACCAGATAACTCTCTTGAACTGTTGGCTGTGGAAGAAGTTGAGCTAAATACCAACAAGCAAGAAATGTGTCTACCATCTGATGGTGACACTGACCAGCAGCATTTGGAGCATGCAAGTGACGACCCTAATTCAAAAGTTGATGTTTCAGAAGGTGCAGGTATATCTGTACTGCTGGAGAGATCAACTAGGGGCAAAGGACGTATTGTTCAAAGCAAGAGCTTTTCAGCAACTAACATCAATTATGATGATTTCTCCCGTGTGACAGACAAGATTGACAGCATAAGAAGCTCCTTTGGGAATGATTCTGTTGACTTGGGATCGTCTAGGCAAATAGAATCTCGTATCCAACGGCAATTAAGTAGTAATAATTCGGATATAGAAAATTACAGGTATGAGATGCCTGTGAAGCACAAACGCTCCATATCTTCGTTGTCTGGTGCTTCAAGTCATGCTTTGAAAGTCCCAAGTGTTACAGCAAACTCTCACGACGATAGTTTCGAGGTAGTTTCTGTCAACAAGGAAAAAGATGCCAGGGAGGCAATAGGCAAAGATCCTTATGCAAAATCACTGGCTTCAGAATTTACAGAAGAGGAAAGTACTTTCACTAATGTTGAGAGTAACAAGAATTTTAGAAATAACTCTGAATTGTCATCACATGTGATAAACTACTGTCTAGGAGATATTCCCTCTGTGTCAGTTTCGGAATTTGAAGAGCCAGCATCACATGAGGATGGTGAGAACATGTCAAAGAATTCAAGTAATCCCATGAATATACAAGCATCATCTACACTTCCTGAGAGTTGCACGCCAGAGGAAGATGCCTTGACAAATTTATATGCTGATTGGGTGGATGTGGGAGAGCTTCCTAATCGAAGCTCTTTGGATGCTATATCAGAAATCGAAATTAAGAATGGTGATACTGGTTCTCCTGATTCACAATCTGAAATTGATTCCACTGATTCAAAGAACATGATGAATGAATTGCAGGATTCTTCTGTTCTGGCAGCATCCAATAATGTTATAACAGCATTTGTTAAAGAATCTGACCCCTCAGATCATGCTTTTGACATCCTTGGTAAGTACACCTATCTTTCGGGGTTTTTCACTCTTCTGCCCCCACATCTGAACATCTAACTGGCACCAAGTAATATCCCATGTTCTAAGCTTAATTTCTCAGAGCAGAAAATCTCAAATTCATTTTGCAAATGGTTTATGAGATCTGTTTCCAACCATTTACATCTACTAATTTTGCAGTTCGCATTAATTTTTTTTTTCGTTTACCGTGAGATAAATGATGGAATTTTCAATGTTCTGAAGATCGGTAACTGTAGCAAAGCCTTCCAAACTGCATGAATCTGCCCTGTAGTGGTTATGAGGCCTTTGATTCTACCATGTGATTTGCCTCTCAATATTTGTGGTCTTATTTATGACCCTCATGGTGTTGTACTGCATATGTGCTATTTGTAATACTTCTAGTGAGAACTTCTGGGATTTTAACTGAAAGAGGGCCCCTGAATGTCCTTGCAACAAAACTGTTCTCACACCTTTACCATCTTTTTCAGGCAAAAGATAAAAATGTTTGTGCTGAAGTTTTTTATTGAATAACCGTATTTTCACTTGAGATTTCCATATTAAATTGATGTTGCTGGCAGTTTGTCTGGGCGAGTTTATGCACACAAGTATAAAGCTTGAAAATCTTACCAAATGTAGTTAGGAAGGGTTGGATAAGTTTACGTCTCTTTCTCTTCCTCCAACCCCATCCCCGATGTATGGTTGGCTGATCTTGCTCAAATAAGTAATATCAAACATGATTTTTCTCAATTATTTTGGGAAATATTCATTTTTTCATCAGGGGTTTTTAATTTAGCTTCATATTTTATTCCCTCTCTCTCCCACCACTAGCAACTATTAACCAGCTTTTACCCACACCAGTTTCAGATCTAGTGATCTTTCACCATGACAAGTTTGTTATTTTATTTATATTGGTATTTTGACTAGTGATCTTTGATTTCTTTTCTCTCTTTTTTTAATGAAATCTCACCTGTGCGCTGGGATGTGGAGTGGGAGGTTGGCTTTGGCTCTCAGATGTTTTTTTTTTTTTTTTTTTGGGGACGACCTTGGCTCTTACATGATTGGTAAGAAAATTCGGATAAAGGAGAGGGAGACATAATGACATCCTCACCTCCAAAGTAAGAGCCTGACTAGCACAATTATTTTTGCTCATCTCCACTTAAAAATTTTCATGTTTCTTTGTGAGTAAACATAATTTTTTAATTTTATTGGCCTGTTTAGTGAATTATAAATTTCTAATCCAAGTTTTGATTAGTACTTGCAGTGCACAGCTTTAGCATAACTTGGCATGCCTTGAAGTTCTTGATCTTATGTTATTATCATCTTGCTTTCTTGTTCGATAACTTGACTTCAAGTTCTATATTTCTGAGTGTTGATATTGAAACTTTCTTTGTCATAACAGAGGTATCGACTGTGATGCTTGAGGTGGCTCCTCCTTATTTCCGATCTTCCCTAACCCTAGAAGAAGCAACAGATACAATACTCTTCTGCAGCTCAATTGTCCACAATCTGGCGTATGAGGCTGCAAATATAGCAATAGAGAAAGAAAACTCGGTCCCATTGGTAGATTTGCAGCCAACGGTAACATTTCACGGGAAGGCCAATGTTGATAGAAGGGATATACGTTCCAGAGCAATGGGAAAACGTACTTCTAAATCCGTGAAACCTCGACCAAAGAAATTGGAAACAGATAAAAAACTTGCTCCGGGAAACAACATTGAAAGTGATGAGAAAACCGATGTAGCTACTACACATATTGTTGCAGTTCCTAATACTGGTGATAACACGAGGCCTCCAAAGCTGGAGTCGAAATGCAATTGCACGATAATGTGAGCGGTTTCTTTTTCAGCGGTCGAGCTTATTTGCAGTAGAGGAATGGTTTTTTCTTGTTTGTTGCAAGTGTTTTATAAGAAATACGTCGTTTTAGTGATTGTAATCATTTGTAAAGTTCTAATTTTTACTAGTCTGATGATAGTGAATGAAATTGGAGATTATAGACCGCTCCAATTTGCCATATTCTTATTTGTTATTATTCATTTGTAATTTGGTGAAGTTACTCAATCGCAGAGTCTAGTGTGAGTTCTTTTTGTTGTGTAACCCAATTATTCTTGTTCATTGTAATTGTTGCAGATATAATCACTTTTACTTATTTTTCCCACATGAAGTTTTTGATTATTTCAATAAGTTGTTTGCATTTTGCAGTTATTTTAAGAAGCTAGAAATGACTCACTGATTACATGCATAGACAATTTAAATTCGTTGTTATCATGGCTTTGTGTATAGACTAACCTATCGAACTCCAATAATTTTTTTATTTAGATTATTCACTTTTTATTAAGAATGGCCTTTTTAGTCAGGGTGATACATCTATTCAATGCTAAGACCCTTTGATCAAGTTGACATGCACTGGAACTGCATCGATTCTTAGTATTATCCACTGATAGAGTTAAATCCTTTACTTCAAATTTGATATTGTTGTGCTTTTAAGATAATCGACTCTGAAAAAAATCAGTTTTGTTTGATAAACATTTGTTCATAATTGTCGTACGTCCCAAAATCTGTAATTGAGCATTTGGTAAACAAAACAACTTTATTGCTTTTTACGTACAATTATTAAAATGGATATGGATTATAATGATGATAAATATTAATTTTTGTATGGTAGAATACAATAATTAAGTTTTGATTTAAAGGCATTATATTTTTTCAAAAAATTTGATAGTCTTCAACAAACATCGATTTGTTGTAGGTTAAAATCGAATAATGTTGTTTATCATCATGAAAGAAATTCACAATTCACAATTAAATTTTTAGTAAATTGTGATATAAATTTTTGAAATGTGTGGTTGAAAAGTTGTGGGATCCTTAAAAGATGTAGTTAATATTGATTGTTTGACTTTAACTTGGATTAAAATCAGATTTTAATCATGACCAAACATGGGCATAAATTGAATTATCCAATATCATTATTCCACATAAACTGTCACATCATCGACGATTTATCATTATGATGATAAATAACATTATTCATTAAAATCGTATTAAAATTTTAAATCAAAATCAACAATTAATTTTAACCACACATTTTATAGGATTCACAATTTTTCAATCACATTTCATCAACTTTTATCAAAATTTACTAAATTATAATTTTAATCTACACCAAACAAGGACTAAACCTCAAAATTTATAAAACAAAAATAAAAGTATATTTTAAATAAATTTATATTTTTCATGTGCACTAGAATTGCACATCAATTTTAATTTTCAATTTCTTCATTTTCATAAATAGAAAAAAATATCAAATAAATTTAAATTATTCATCAATGAGAAGAATGAAGAAATACCCTGCAACGATTTCAAGCAATTGGGAGAGAAATGTAAGCAGGATTGGGAAACAACGAGCTTTCACGTTTCAAGGAGGAAGGCATTTCGACTGAAAAAGCTACTATTTTGCTATGTTTCAAATTTGCTCTTTACTATGCAATTATTTTAATTTTACCAAACACTTGAAATAACGTGCTTATTTGATAACAAGACACATTAAATAAAAACATATTAGAAAATTAATAAATTAACTATACCCACGATAAGGAAGGTGAACTGTAAGTTGAAACAAACAGAAAAAGAAAGCAAGCAAATCTTGATGGGATAGAGAGAATGTGGGAATTTACGTGTACCATGTTATCAAAAATTACAAAATGCATACTATTATGACTAACGGCTGTTAGTCAACATTAACAGAACTAATAAAAAGTCAGAAATAACCCTTCCTATTAAAATATAGGACTCTTGTTTCCTTGCTGAACCTCCGTTCCTAGTGATCCACAAAAAGAAACTCCCTTAGAAATCTGTTGAAGAATTCTCCACAATTTCCTCTCTCTTCGTACAAATCTACATACCAGTAGTCTTGGTGTCGCTTATTATTAATGCAATAAATATCCAGTAATGCTAAGATTAGGGGTTAGCGTATTTCAAAATAATCACAATTTTTTCTAATTTAAAACTTGCACTGCATAATAAACAACGGAATTCATTTATGCACATCAATAATAAAAATAGCACTATCATATGTTCAATATACTGTTTATAAATGGTCAAACCACATTTTATCCACATGGAACCCACAAGTACTATCCACTTACCCACTACTCATTTCCATCGTTTTATTATTTAAACCGTTTACACACAACTCCCGAATATTCTTTCAAGACTCAAAACATTCACAATCCAATAATAGTGGATATACATACCTCAGAACAAACATTTACCATTTTCTGGTTTCCTCATCTTCACTCGGCCTCGGGGTACATTAGAAAAGGCGATAACGTTCCCCCATCATGAGGTTATTCCTAGAAACACTGTTGCAGGTCAGCCTATGACCCATGAAACCTAGAAATGGGCATCAAGAAGAGAGCATATCCTCGAAATTGCCAGCAGGAATGCATATTAAAAGAGAGAGAGAGAAGCATCACCATGAGAATGTTTGGCTAAGTTCAAAAAGTGTAAAGTTGTAAAATAAAAAGTATATCTTCTGTCTTGAAGAAGTTGGGATAACTTGAAGGGTAAGGTGAATAGTCTTCAAGTAAAGCCATTGGAAATGTCACGACAAAAAACTATTTTGACAATAAGGTACAATTTACTTACATAAAAGTAACATTTTTCCATAGAAGTAGGAAAAAGTCACTTATCCAAACATGTTTATAAACAAAAAGTTACTTGCATTATTAAGCTTAGCCAGACATGCACCATATTTAAAGACCAAAACACTTAACCACCAAAGTTGCCGAAAACTTTGCATCCACACAGCTTGAGCCAGCACAAATATGAATCCATATACAACAAGAAGCGTGGCAAAAGTTTCACCCTCATGCACAAGGCATGCAAAATTCAGATGTTTCAAATAGTTCAGGAGTGATATTAAGTACCCGAGAAACACATATACCAAGTTCAACATAAATATATAAAAAGTCCAGATTGCATAAAGAACTTAAATGCCATGTTAAATCAAGCAGCTAATAATAAATGCAACTTAATTCGAAAAAAACAATCTAGGTTACTCTCAGAGGCCTAGGTGAATGTTATTTTACTGAATAAGATCGACTTTACATACATTTCAGGCCAAGAATACAATAGCTATTTTCCGAAACAATTAACCAATAGAAGTCAACAATCCTTGCTACAATTTTGCACTAGTCAAATCAGAGGAGTTGAACTCGAAACTACGCCTAAAAGTGACAATGGAGAAAATAAAGGGAAAAAAATCAGCAAGTCGTACAACACAATTCTGGTCGTAGTCAGTTGTATGCATTCAATTTCAAGAAACAAAAACACCACTCTTCCTCACTAAGTATCTAAGACTTGCAAATTACAAGTCTAAATGTGTGATCATGTACCATTACAACTAAGTAAAAATTCATTCGTAATACTTTAGCTAAAACTGATAAAGGACAATTAAGTATGGAATATGTAACAGGGTAGCAAATGTGTACCTATCTCGACTTCATAAACTGATGCAGGACAATCATATTGCAAATAGAATAGGAATTCATTTCTTATTGTATTAGGATTAAATTTCTTGTTTAAATTAGAATTTTTAATTCTTTTAGGAATAAAATTACTTATTTTCCTTAAACTATTAGGATTGGGAGATTATTTTGCCTATGTAATAAAAAGGCTTTGTACACTCTTAAATCATCAAATTGAATACAATCAAATTATATTCTTACAAATTTTCGCGTTTCCAAAATTTTTCTTGTTTCAAGAAACACAATTCGACTTCCGTAACATAGAAACTCACTTTCAAGCCAATTAACTAATAGGTGCGCGACAAACCTTTCAACATTTTGCACTAGTTGATAGTGGTAAAAATGCCAGAAAACGATTGGAAAAAAAAAACAGAAACAAAAAGAGTTGTAATAACTGATTTTGGTTCTTTGATTGGTCAATTGTGTCTAATTTCAAATAATTGGAACATAACCTAACTGAGTATCAAAAATTAAATATTATAAGTCTAATATTATACCATAAAACAACAATTGTATAGAAAGATAAGTATTATAATTGTAACAAAAATGAATAAAACATACCTCTCTTGAGCTTGAGGAGGCAACAAAGAATATCTGGAGAATGGAAAAACATTGAAATTTCTATGCATGCCAGGTTGCGAGAGAGTTCCTCAACCCGCTTGCTTTGATACTGCAGTGACATTTGCAGATGAATGTCATAAAAGTATAAATCTTGTTCACGCCAAAGCTCTAAAAGAATTGGTTATTCTTCCAGGATACAAGAAATTATACATTACAAAAGTTCAGACATTGTTCAAGCCATAAAACCTCTAAGAATATTGTTCAATCTCCCAGGTTACAAAAAATTATACATCAAGAGCAACTACTCCTTTTGATGAGTCAATACATTAAAAAAAAAAGACCATGGCCAAGAAAACTACACACTAAATCAAACTCAACTAAACAAAAAATAAAAAATCCTCAAACTTCCAGTTTTGTTTACCGTATGCTAGGAGCTTCAATACCATCCTCACGTTTATGCACATGAAATAAGTACAGTATTAATTCGATAAGTTAGCAGTTAATAATGTCAAATCCCCAAAGGCCATAATAAACGGATAAGTACCACCACTATTACACAGTACATATTAATTAATAAAGGAAAAACCATGTAATCCTTTCTTTTTATTTCGTAGTGGCCAAATATGTGAGTCTATCTACCTAATTCTCTTTATCATCAAACCATATGGCCTGGCGTCAACAAATAATCTCAGCGTGAAAAACAATATATGGAAAAAAAAAAGGAACGGTAGCAGATAGAGCACG